ATTATCTTTGAATCCCTCATAGAAGAACTGAATCTGCCTTTTATTTCGATTCCAGGCTTAGGGGTATCTAACTGATGTGACCTTCTCCGATCAGATAAGAAAGAGAAACAAATCTAAGGAGAAAATAGTCTTATGTACATTTAATCTTGTGAAGGTAGCAGAAGCTTCCACTCTTAGGAAAGGAAATGGAGGAGTAGATAATGCTTGACCTCTACCGCTATATTGTTTTTCCTTAGGAGATGAATCGTGATACACAAATAAGACCACAAATTATACTCCATAGATTACTAAGTTAAAGTTTTTAGTACTTGTTCGGTGAATAAAAGAGATGGGTTTTGATATCTCCACATATCAGAACCCCTTTTTTGGTGTTTTGTGAGAGCTTGAATATATTTCAGATTTGATATCTTCATATTTCAAAACCTCCCAAACGAGGGAATTTGATATCTCTCGAATTTGGAAGATATCAATATGGGATTTTGATATCTCCATCAACCGTCGACCACCCACACCCGTTAAATACTAAAAATCATGATTTCAAATCTCTCCAAACACCTTATTTTCATATTTCATAACCCATATCAATTCTCCCAGATTTCAAAAGTACCATATTAATTCTCTAAAACTCACCAAAAGGACCCTTAGTTGTTAATTAATTTGGTCGGAATATAAGCTTAATATATAAATGTAAATTGGGAACATTCAATAGCCAAATTAAATTAAAATCCAATTATTCATAAAGATCTTATAAAAAGTATGCAATGTGTAGCTGTATAACCTGCAGGTCAAAGATTAATATAACATCCTTACCTCTAAGAATGTCTATAATGTGATGCACCAAGATGGATGGCTCCGTATATTCAAATAATTGGGCAGCACCACCAGCAACAAGAGCAACAAGTACAGGACCTCCAGAAACAGTATGATAACTGTAAAATAAAAAGAATTCTCCACGCTTATGCCTATGCTGGTTTAGACGGCCAAACGTATCAAGATCTTCTTCCCAAAAGACATAGGGGAATACCATAGCAACCTTGTTTAACAAGCCAAATCCCAATCTTTCTATAGCAGCAACTTTCTTCTCAGGTAATTCCGGTTCAAATGTTATGGATTTTCTCTTTAAAACCCCAAGAGGCACAGTACAAAGTATCATATCTGCTTGAAAAACTTGGCCACCAGCTATGACTTCAGCTCCATTTCCGTACCTTATTGTATGAACAGTTTTACCATAAAAAACTGGAATTCCCTTGCATAATGCTTTGATTAGCCTATAATTTCCACCAACAAGCAGGCAATGGTCACCTCCCATTTCAAAAGGGTCGTCTTGATCCCAATGGGCAGCTGAAAGGTTTGAAAGGCATCCAGCATTTGCATATTCCAAGTTTGCAAAATGCCAGTCAAGGAGTTGTCTCTCCTTTGTGGTTCTAGCCACAGCATATAGTTGTGTGAGTGTTTCCAAGACTGAACCTAGAGAAATATCATTAGCAAATCCCCCCATTATTTTTCTCAACTCCATGACTTTGTCGAGAAGCTTGTTAAAGATAAGTTCAACTTTAGAATCAATATCCACATCAACTGGTGCTCCATCAGGTTGGTACAAAGGGCACTTATCTCTAACTTTGTGAAGAGGAATGGAAAGTTGTCTGGCCAATACCCCCAGAGGATTGGCATCGATACCAGTTATTACACTGCCACCAAGATCAACAGCAGCATTGTTACCATTCTGCTCCAAATACTGTGTATAAACTCTTCCCCCAGGTCGGTTCCTGCCTTCAAGGACAACCACCTTGAAACCAAACGACATCAGCTGCCTTGCAGCAGCCAATCCCGCGAGTCCAGCCCCGACAATTATGACGGACCCTTCAGTTGCCTCCTCAGGAATCTGAGACATTATCAAAGGAGAAACCCCAAAATTTATGTAGCCATTAGACAAAAGAAAGTCATGTGCAGAAGATATTAAATGCTCATACTCGCTACTCACAGTTTCCCTTATCTGGCCTTTGGAGACCCATGACCGAACATTAGACCTCCACCTGGAAAGTATGTGGTTCCTCACAACAATATAATCATTCTGCTCCTTCCCACCTAACTCTATTACAACCCCAGCTTTAATTTCCTCCTCTAGTAAATCATCTATAGGGAATCCCAAAGAGAGTGCTATCATGGCCTCAACCTCAGTCTCTTTCTCCAATTGTTCTTTCGTTCTAATCCTCTTCTTCTTGAAACCTCCCAACTGCCCATCCATTAGTTCATCTATAAGATTCTCACTGTAACTCTTTACACTCACTTTCCTTCTCGTCCTCTTCGAAATTGAACTATCTGAAACTGAAACCGTGGTCTCCATTGTTTTTATCCTCTCTTAACCTTTGTTTACTCAAATCCCTAAAAAGCTGCCTCCATCATCCCAATGTGAACCACCACCGCTCAAGTAGTCCCCTGGAGATTTCAACCCCAAAGATACTGTCACAAAATGTACAAGCCATGACTCAAAAACTCTTCTTTTCAGAAACAAAAGATTGAATTTCTAAACTGAAGTGATATGCTTGAAATGGTCGCATAACTAAACTAAACAGATAACACAAAAAAAGGGAAATTACTAACTAGGATAAAATTTCAAATGATTTCAGAGGTGGGTTAAATACCTCCCGTAAAACTCCTGTTTCTGACCTCTATTTTGCAGAAACTGCTGTGTGGAATGAACTAGGCTTTTTTGTTAGTGGCAGATGATCTCTCACGAACAGCTTGGTGTCCCGATTCAATGTATCCCTTCCAGATGGGTTGGATACAAGATACACGAATCAACCCTTCGCACAAAATGTCCTCTTCTCTCCAACAAACGTCACACGAACTCAAGCTTAAGGAGAGAGTAATATAGAACTGGTGGTTCAGCAGAAACATATTTTAAGCATTAGATTTTGCTCGGATTGGATGTTTGGATGATGACGCTAGGGTTCCCGTTTCCATGGTTTGCAGTTCTCAGCAGTATAGATGTGAGAACGATGAACACATCAGCCTCTATTGAATGAAGCTTTGAAAGTCCAATTGAGTGCGCGCCAAATCCAATGTTTTGGCGACTCCATTCAAACGTAATCAACCCGAAAAAAAGAAAATACTCAGGTAGTCAGGTATAAGCTCTCCTTTACTAAGGAAATTATTTATGCTAAAACAAAAGTAATTTGACGGATGCTTTGGAAGAATTTTAGAAAGACTAATTTAGGACTAAAACATAATGACTTTCTCAAAATAGGATCATATGTTTTTATTTCCAAATGTAGGATTATTGGTCATTATATATTAGTTATTATTCAACTAAATGTCCAGCATCACTTGGGCATTATTCTTCTTACTAGTCATTATTAAGTCTTATTTCGGGAATAAAAAAGTTTAAGTCTTACATTAGAAAAAGACTTATGTTTTAGTCCTATTCACTGCAAATTTCACTTTTAGAAAAGGTTTTTCCAACCAAGTAACAAAAAGCCTATAGGGAGTAGCAAGAAGTATAGTAAGATGGTTGTATAGGCCTATAGGCATTGGGAAGTATACAATATACACTATACTTAATATTTAAACAATAGGTAGTTTACTGGAGATAGTCTTATTACCAGTATTTTGTATCCTTTTACCTATATACATATTAATACTGCTACAACTACCTACATATTATTACTCCAATGATAGAAAGGTCTTTCTATTTGTGCAAAATGATAGAAAGGTATTTCCAACCAAGTAACAAAACACCTACAGGGAATAGCAAGAAGTACACTAAGATGATCATATAGGCATATAGGCATTCAGAAGTATACATTGTAGAATATAGTTAATATTTGAATAGTGGGTAGTTTGCTGCTCTGCAACAGAGAGAGAGCCTATCGACCTTTTGCATCGTTTTACCTACATACATATCACTACTGCTGCAACTACCTACATATTATTACTTCGATGATAGAAAGGTATTTCCATTCGTGCGAAATAATAGAAAGGTCTTTCCAACCAAATAACAAAATGCCTGTAGGGAGTAACAAGAAGTATAGTAAGATGATTATATAGGCCAGTAGGCATTCGGTAGTATACAATGTAAAGTATAGTTAATATTTGAACAGTGGGTTGTTTCATACTCTGCAATAGATCGAGAGAGCCTTATTACCGGCCTTTTGCATCTGTTTAGCTATATACATATTATTACTGCTACAACTACCTACGTATTATTACTCCGATCGATACTCAAGTATTCATACCATCCCACAATATGTTTGCATCTTCATCATCTTTGAGAACTAAAGAAACAATGCATGGAACAATAACTTTTGCCTTTGTGTTTCTCAATTCAGAGAATAATAATCTTCCAAATATATTAATGCCCACATATTCAAGGGGACGCCACCCCATCAGTGGTTTAATATGTAAGTAAAAAAATAATCTAATTTTTTCTTTAATTTACTCCAAGATTTAGATCACTAATTATATTTAAAATCTACAAGCCATGACTCAAAGACTCTTCGTTACGATGGTTTACAATTCTTATAAGTATAGATGTGAGGACGATGAACACATCAATGTCTATTGAAAGAAGCTTTGAAAAACCCAATTGAGATTTCCAAATCCAATGTTTGTGCCAATTCAAACATTTCGAATTGACTGACCGGTCAATCCCGGGCATGTCAGCAACACTCCAGGAAAATAATGATTTATACCTGGTCAGCACCTCGACAATCTCAGTCCTTAGCTCTTCTTGAAGATCCGCCTCGATCCTGACCTTCCTCTCGGGGTTAGCGGTATCAATCTGGATCTCCTCCGTGTTTGCATCCAGCTCGATCATAGCCTTCTCCTCACCTATGTCTACCTGCTGGGAGACCAGTTCAATTTGGATCCTCCTTTCCTGTGAATTTCTCCACGTCCAGCTTAATCTTCCGCCTCAACTTCTGCGCATGTACCCTGGCCGAAAAGGGAGATTTAGCAAGGGTGTGCTTTTTTCGCTCCCGCCTTCTCTTCCACCTTTTCCTCCAGGGCACTTAGTTTTCTTGCTACGCTCCCTATCTTGTCCAGGTCATCCTCATCGTATGAGAGCCTGGTATATGCCGACGCTCTAGGCTGGCTTTCTGCTTCCTCCTCGTCTTAGTGAATCGTCTCAAATTCCCTAGAACGACGAGATTGGGCGTGACGACTCCCGCCAAGTCTTTCCATTGCGCTAGTTCGTCCCATCTCAGGACCAAGACGTAGCTTAGCAGACTTGCGGGGTCCATCTTCCTTGTCCCCTAGGCGTTTGAACGCTGAATCCCGAGTTTCGTTGGGCTTGGCTATAGCCTTACCCTTTCTTCTGCGGGCCGCCTCGTCGACCTCATGGACATTTGAGGGCGCTGCTTCATTCAAGGTCCCCATCAAATTCACCGGGCGTATAGGGACCATCCTAGGGACAAATGTTGACGGGGTCGACACCGGAGGTGGCATAATTGGTGGCGTCATGCCAGGATAGGCAAATGGCATGAAGCCCCCTGCCTGTTGCATCATGGCCATCCCCTGTTGATAGCCTTGTAGAGCCTGAGCATTTGCCGAGTCAGCAGCAAATTGAGCCCAAGCTGACGGGTATGGTGTGAATGCTCCCCCCGGCGTTGTTATCAAACCTAGGAACATTGTTGTCATTGGCGTAGAAGTAGGGGTCGACATGATTGGGATCATGCCAATCGATCCTACCGTGGTGATCGGGGAAAAGGTTGTCCCCATGCTCGTCATCAATGGGATGGCAGGAGTGCTTTTACTCGCAGCCTGGCTTGACACAGTGTTGTGGTTGCTTGAAGACATGATTGTGGATATTTAGTGGGGGTAAAGTTTTGACCTGGTCGAAAAAACTTTAAAAATCGGCCCCACGGTGGGCGCCAAAAATGATAGTGTAAATATAGATGGGCGGGTTGACCGAATCTGACCTAGACACACTCGACCCGTAATATAAAACACACAACAAGAACACAAAGTATGACCTAGACCGGGTAAATCTCCTCAGTCCGAAATATATTTCTTACTCTGTCTCAAGAGTAAACTAGTTTTAGTGAGATAAAGAATGGATCCCCTCCTCTATCAAATATCATCATATTTATAGAGGAGGATTTGTGACCTTTCCCTGTTCATCCACGGACAAAATAGGAAGCTCGTGGGAAGGTCACTGTAGTTAATGGGAACACTGTACAATCATTGATTTCAATAGCTACAAGCCAAGACACTGTTCAATCAAAGACTATAAATGGATATTCTCAATCAAATCAACCCTGCAAGGTGACAAACATCTCTTTCACTGTATGCCTCGTGATGGATGAGCAGCGGGGTGGTCCCTCGGTCTTTGACGTGGTTCACCATGCGTGCGAGTCTGGACCAATGTTTACCAAGTAAGATGATATGACCGGTCACCTTTTCTCAAAAGTTAATCGGTCATTTCTTGAGCTCAACCCGTCTCTTTGGTCTTCCGGAAGATCCTTCGTAATATAAGGTGATATTTTGGCTTTCGCCCAAAATGTGACCGGTCACTTTTTCAAGGAAAGTGACCGGTCAACTTTTGACCCGTCTCAATCGAAGAGTTAACCTCATTTGGTGATTGATGAAAGTGACCAGTCATATTTTGACCTGTCCCTTTCGGTTTTCCGGGCCGGGTATAGGGATATACCCATCATATATATATATATATATATATATATATATATATATATATATATATATCTTTCTTATTATATAAATGGGAATGAGGGTTAGGTACCCTTTAAAAAGATGCACTTTTTCCATCCATATATTTTGTACACCATGCTTAGAAAGTTGTACCCTTACTTATTCAGCCAAAAATATCCTCACTGGTTAAACTTCCGTCAAATTTAAAACATGCCCTGACTCGCCTCTCGCCACGGGAAACCTTTGGACAACGCAATAGAGGGGGAATTAAATTCCCAATTTACTGTGTCTTTAATCGTAAAATAACACTATTGAGATTTACAGAGGTATTCTCGAATCCCTACTTCTGAAATCGTGAAATTTGGCTAATTGCCGCAGGGTTTCGTCCCCAATTTCCTGCAGGTGTCGCATAAGCAGTGCCCTGGTAATAAATACGGAGTATTCAATTTACTAGATATTAGCATTGTACAATTTATGCAGATGAATTGGAAAAAGGATGGATTATGTGAATGAATTTTTGTATTTTATCTCTCTTTTTGCAAAAAAATTGTATGTAGTTTGGATTGGGAGTTGCTAGCTTGGATTTCACACGTTTCACTTTTAATCTTAGTTTTTTGGTTTTGTTAATTCGCATTTCATAGGGAAATCATAAGAAATTTTGAGTTTACAGTTTCTTTTATTGACGATTCTTTTACAGATTTCAATTGAGGATTCTTAGATTTAATATGATTCACTCTTAATATCATTGTTTCCCCAAGTTTTTAAGTTAAATTACCATTTCTACTATTCTTATCTAATATCGATCTTGGGATTTATAATATTTTTAATGTTAGATGAGTCTGAGCTATATATTAATAGCCAATGTTGTATTTTAATCCTTGAATTGCTACTCCATATAATTTAGGGTTCTCACATTGGTCGGATTTACCTGGCTTTGATGGTATTTATTCAATCTGTGGCAGTGATTAAGGTGCTGGAAGCAAACATGATATATCTGCCATTCGAGGATCAATGTTTTGATGTAATAGTAGATAAAGGAACAATGATTAGATTCTCTATTCAAATTTGCATAAGTATTCTCAAATCCTTTTCACCCGTAAAGGTGCTCCATTTCTGTCACTTTTAATTTTACTCTATGTTGTGTTAGTTGTAACATTCTTTTCACTTTGCTTATTAGGGTTCTCACATTAGTCAGATTTACCTGACTTTGAAGGTATTCTTTCAATCTCTGGCAGTGATTAAGGTGCTGGAAGCAAACATGCAACATCTGCCATTCGAGGATCAATGTTTTGATGTAATAGTAGATAAGAGAACAATGGTTAGACTTCATTATTTCTTACAACCTATTTTTCTATTTCAGATTCTTTTTCATTCAATCATTCAACTCTTGAAGTAGATAATATTATTTTTTAGAAAAGTAGAGATCAATAAATTTGATGGCGTTCCTGTTTGAAATGGGTATTCAAGTAATCATAAGTTTAGTGGAAAGAAAAATGAAAAATTAACCAAGTCAAAGAATACAGAAAATCATACATTCTCAACCTATTAAGCACGTAGAGTTATCGCCCCACTGGGTTCGAACCTGTGACCTCCCACATTGGGGAGCCACCATGATGCCGCTTGACCACAAGGTCTTTGGCGTAAGCTTAGGATATTAATTTTATTACAAATCGCATACTGGCAATTGCTATTAGGCTAACTAGATATTCACCCTAACCCATTTTTGAGCTGCTGGTTTTAATTTTGAGAGTAAGCTTAGATTTAGGCTACTTATGCCTTCATTATTTAACGCCACTTTTGTTTATCTATCCTTTTCACTATCATGTCATTTATTATGTATCCAATTCAAGTTCATTGTATTCATTAATGATTAGTAGATATACTACATATCCTTTGTCCAAGTATTGGTTTAGTTCTTATTGGTAGTTGTTAATTAATGATTTTTTTCTTAGGATTTTTTAATCATAGGTTTGGTGGTTCAGTTTTGGGGGGTTTCGCACGGTTTGCAGTGTTTGTTGGCAGCTACAATAATTGACTGTCTGCTTCTCTTACAGCTTCAGCTGTCTTTGACGGCATTTTAGTGTGTCTTCAATCTTGATATTATGCTCTATTCAGATTTGCAGAAGTATTCTCAAATCTTTTTCCTCGGTAAAGGTGCTCCATTTCTGTCAGTTTTATTTTTACTCTATGTTGTGTTAGTTGTAACATTATTTTTGCTTTGCTTCTTTGCTCTCATAGGTGTTAATAACCATGTTTATGACTGTCCTAGCTTCCTCTTTCCTTTTCATCTTTTCTCTGCTTTAAAAATCCCATCTGTGACTGGAACAATCTATCATTGAAGAATTTCACTACCGATACAGGAAGTAGTATTCAAATTTTTATTAAGTTTTGAGAAACTTATGTATATTCTTCTTAATACTATAATTGAGTCTTATGTTCAGTTCTACCTTGATGTCATGGAAATGGGAAAATGATTTGGCTCTCCTTTTTTTATTATAAAATGTATAAGCCCTGCATTTTTTTCTATCTCCTCTTCTTAGAACTCCATTTTATATCGTTTATTTATAGGTTTTGGTCATAGCACTTTTATTAAGGGTAATCATGAAAAGATGCTTTTCCATACTTCACGCGAATCGTGAAAGTTTTGCCTTGGTCTTTGTATGTTGTGTGATATTAGATCATTTATTATGTACTTGTCGTACTAAATAAATCATTCACATGTTCAGCTCCCTCTGTCCATAATTCAGTTCTTTACCAGAGTTGGAAGGTCTTACACTTTTGCTTATAGGTATTAGCCTGAATCAAATTTGGTCTCTGTCAGAAGCATCTACGTCTATTGGGCTTCATGTGGAAGTAGAATCCTATCTATATGCACTGGTTTTTTAAGTAACTATACACCATTTGAATCCTATATAATATATAAATGAGAGGGAGGGTTTAATCCCCGTGCCAATGTGAATTTTTTTGTTACTAAACATTTTAATCTGCGGTGGGAGGATTGCATGGTTTGATGTTCTGACTATATTACCCTTACACCGTCCAAAATCCAGTCTCATTTATTTACTCACACATTGACCCTTAACCAGTAATAGGGTTGGCATATAGGGAAATTGATCGAAAACTCTTGGAGTGGGTGAAATTGGCCTTTGGGTTGCTCTCTTCCATAATGTTTACAGCATTAATGAAGCCATCTTAAATTTTCAGGTCACTTTGTACATGTATTTGTATTATTAGGAATGATTAGCTATAAAATTTTAGGAGAATTGATGTTTTGTGGCCCGTTTCTTTGGACAACTATTATTACAAAAGGCAAAAGCATGTTTCAAACATTTAATCTTTAACCTTTTAGTTAACTATGAAATATGTATGTTATATTCTATGAGGTGTGGATGCATTGTGATTGATGTTTTGGTGATGCCAAAACGGCTTCCAATTGTTAAGTTTTCAGCTTTTAAATTTGGAAACACTATGAGTGTTGAATGCATAGTAAATTGTGATTGATATATTTGGATGGTGGAATTGTCCAGATTATGTCGAGAGTACTTCCATTTTGTCAAGTTTGAACTTTTAAATTTAGAAACACTATTTGAGAGCTATCATTGCTTAGGAGATAAATTTGGTAAGTTTGTGTGCTTTGGTTCAGCTTTGGTTTAAAATTTGAGTGTAGATATGTAACGTATATTCTGCGTGCATGAGAGTTTATTCTAGATCATATATCTCAACATGGTTAAGCCTTTAGACTCTTTTTTTTTGATAAATGGATTTGCAAAATAAAAACGTTTAGAGGGCGTGAAGTAAGCTCTGCATCAAAAGGTAATCAAATAATAATCTGAATTTTTATTTGGCTAGAGATAAATCTAAATGGAAATGTTGAGATTAATGTGTCCCTTTATTTGGTTACTGTCTTCAATTAGGAATTTGTTAATGAAATATTAATATATGTGTAGGTTGTATTATATGTTTAGTTGGTTATCTATGTGTAAACGACTATATACTATGTTTTGTAATGTTCATTTTATTTCCAGTGGCAGTGAAAGACTGGAATATAGGCTCGATAAACTATGCATGAAGTTTTTTCAAGTGTTCTGGTTTGGCATGTTTTTATGCTGATGCGTATTTTATATTGAGTTCTTTATATGACAAATGAAAGGAATGTGATGAGAAGAAATATGAAAGTATGGCTGGAGAATGGAACCACAAATCTGATAAATGGAATGCAGACCAAAATGACAGAGGTGAAACTTATTTGTCTAGCCAAATTTCCTTAAAGCTTTTGAATTGCATTCAAATAATTAGTATATTTTCTAATGTAGAAAATCTTAAATAGTGACAATGAAAACTATAGATTTATGCCATTTTTGCTCACATTGTTATATTATTTTTTTGTTGGTGGTCCAGTAGTCTTTTGTGTTTTTTTCTGTTTTACCTCTCTTCTTTTTTGATCTCTTAAGAGTAATTATTTTTATTACTTCAGTTATTTTACCTCTTATTTTTATTATTATTTTTTTTTACTTTTTTTTTATGCTGATACATATTTTATATTGAGTTCTTTAGACGACAAATGGAAAGACTAACGGGTTCCCTGTGACTAGAAGAAATATGAAAGTATGGCTGGAGAATGAAACCATACATCTGCTAAATGGAATGGAGACAAAAATGACAGAGGTGAAACTTATTTGTCTAGCCAAATTTGCCTAGAGCTTTTGAATTGCATTCAAATAATTAGTATAGTTTTTAATCTAAAAAATATTAAATAGTGTGCAAGTATTCAGAACAATGAAGACTAGATTTATGTCATTTCTGCTCACATTTTTATATTATTTTTTGGTTGGTGGTCCAGTACTTTTGTGATTTTTTTCTATTTTACCTCTCTTCTTTTTTGATCTCTTAAGAGTAATTATTTTTATAACTTGAATTATTTTACCTCTTTTTTTATTATTTTTTGACATGTTTTTATGCTGATGCATGTGTTATATTGAATTCTTTAGATGACAAATGAAAGGACTTCCCTGTGATTAGAAGAAATATGAAAGTATGGCTGGAGAATGGAACCACACATCTGATAAATGGAATGGAGACAAGTTTTCTATTTTACCTCTTCTTTTTTGATCTCTTAAGAGTAAATATTTTTATTACTTCAATTGTTTTACCTCCTCTTATTTTAACTATTTTTTGAGATGTTTTTATGTTGATGTATATTTTATATTGAGTTCCTTAGATGACAAATGGAAGGACTGACTGTGATTAAAAGAAATATGAAAGTATGGCTGAAGAATGGAACCACACATCTGCTAAAAGTACCTCTCCTGTAATAATTGGAATCTTAATGGACATATTTTGAGAAGTGCAATTGTTTATTATGATATCACTCTATATTTAAATCTTTTAAAGCTATACTCTATATAGTTTTCAGTGAGTTTTTTTTGGCAGGATTATATAGAAGATTTTCTTTGGTAGAATGCATAGTGGATACATGTTTTGTAAAATGCTGATAAGGTATGCAGCCATTGATTTGGTATTAATAAATGTCAAATTAAATTAATCATAATAGGAATATATTAATTAGAGATAGTGGCTAGCAATAATTACGTTATTGCACCAATAAGTCTCAATTTACATCTACTTAATTTGATGTCAGTTTTTTCCCAACTTAAATCTTTCCTGATTAACGATAATGACTACTACCTTTCAAACAATTCTCATCTTCCTATAAATACACACTCATAAGTTCTTTCTTGCTTATCTACATACCACCAAAGCTTTATTCAATGATAATACAAACAAAGCAAATGTTCAATTTTGTGTGTTTTGAAAACTCCTTTTAACACGTAGGAGGTATTTTCTTCTTATTG